CACAGCAACAACAACAACAAAAGATCAAGATAACTCAGCAAAATAACTAACCCAGACGAAACAGAAAATTGCAGAAGAGACGCTTTTAAAGAATCCATTTCTTATAAAGAGAGATCAAAGATGCATCTAGAAAATAATGATAAGAAGCTATGAAAAAGGAACAGAGAACAAGAAATAAATTTTGAGGAATTAAAAGTGTAATTGCTTAGATTAAAAAGAAAAGTCAGGTTTCTAAAATAAAGTTGAGGAACTCTCCCAGAATATACACGGTAAGATAAATAAGATAGGAGACTAGAAAAGTCATTCAGGAGATCTAACATTTAACTAGCAGGAGTCTGAAAAAACTACCAGCGGAAAGAACAGAAACCAGTAATATTTTAATTGATGACCTTAAGGGAAGAAGGAATAAACAAACAGAGCAGGCTGAGCACTGTGACTCACGCCTGTAATCCCAACACTTTGGAAGGCCAAGGCAGGCGGATCACTTGAGGCTAGGAGTTTGAGACCAGCCTGGGCAACGTAGTGAGACTCTGTCTCTACAAAAAATTTAAAAATTAGCTGAGCATGATGAGGCACATCTGTGGTCCCAGATACTTGAGAGATTGAAGCAGGAGGATCACTTGAGCCCAGGAGTTAAAGACTGCACCTCCACTGCACTCCAGCCTGGATGACAGAGCAAGACCCTGTCTCCAGAAAAAAAAAAAAAAGAAAGGAAGCAAAGGAGCAGAAGGCTGCTGAATTGAGATCTTAGGAGTCTCAAGCTCTTAGATACCATTTACATTGTTACCACTGATACCATGATATTGTTACCATATACACATATTACAGGTGACCCTTGAACAATGGGGAGACTAGGGGGAGCAATCCCCCGACAGAGTTGAAAATCCACACATAACTCCCCTAAAACCTAACAACTAATAGAGGACAGTTGACTAAAAGCCTTACCAATAACATAAATAGGTGATTAACACATATTATATATATCATATGTATTATATGCTGTATTCTTACAGTAAAGTAAACTCAAGGAAAAAATGATTTAAAAATCATCAGAGAAAATGTGTTTACTATTCATGAAGCGGAAGTAGATCACCTTCCTCGTCATCTTCACGTTGAGTAGGCTGAGGAGGAGGAGGCAGAGGAGGGGTTGGTCTTGCTGTCTCGGGAGTGGCAGAGGCAGAAGAAAACCCATGCATCAGTGGACCCTCGCAAGTTCACACTCGTGTTTTTCAAGGGTTAACTGTACTTTGATACTGGTAAACAGCATATTCCCAATAACTGAAATGTATTATGTGTCCATTTCCACTCTGGAAAGGTGTCAGGACCGAGGGTATCTCTTGGAGAATTTAGAACTTTCATCTTTGTCGCCTTCCAAGCTGCCCCTCAAATAAATACACATCCAAGTCAAGTCAACATGATTTCTACATGAAAGCTACTTCAAGACAAGTCCTCAAATTCTTACTCCCTTTTCTAATTAAATTGCCAGCCCACCCTCTTTCAACATAGAGACCGTAGAGTCATCTGTGCTCTGACCTCCCCAGCTGGCCTCAGCTCTCTTCACCCAGTTGTTTTAGGGACACGTACTAACCTGACTCACTCCCCACTGCAACTCCACCATCTGAAACAATTTATCCAACCTCTGTTCAATTTCCCTCCATTCATGCAAAGCCAGGGGACTAATCTTTCTCAATAAGTAGGCAGGTTCCCTCTAGCAAGGGCTAAATTATAACAAGAGTTACCTCTGCTAAGGAGTCATTTTATGCTAGACACTTTCTAAATGTTTCCTCTAATCACCCACCATTCTGTGAATAGATATTATAGTATTACCCTCAATTTTAAATGGATAAATCTGAGGTTTCAGGGGGTTAAATAATTTGCCCAAGGACAAAAAGTAAGTGGAGGAGCAAGAATTTTTACCTAGGGTTACCTGACTTCAAAGCCCATACTTTTACATTTCACCACAGCCCTGCCCTAATAATTTATATTTGCATTTTATTTTATGGGCACATTTATATATTAACCCAGTTTTATTAATTGAACAACCATATGATAGAAGTTACTAGCCCCATTTTACAGGTGAGAACATTGAGGCCCAAATAAGTTAATGATTTGCTGTTGATCACATGATGCATTCGGTGCCCACTGATTCTTTTTTTTATTATTATTATTATACTTTAAGTTTTAGGGTACATGTGCACAACGTGCAGGTTTGTTACATATATATACATGTGCCATGTTGGTGTGCTGCACCCATCAACTCGTCAGCACCCATCAACTCGTCATTTACATCAGTTATAACTCCCAATGCCATCCCTCCCCCGTCCCCCCTCCCCATAATAGGCCTCGGTGTGTGATGTTCCCCTTCCCAAGTCCAAGTGATCTCATTGTTCAGTTCCCACCTATGAGTGAGAACATGCGGTGTTTGGTTTTCTGTTCTTGCGATAGTTTGCTGAGAATGATGGTTTCCAGCTGCATCCATGTCCCTACAGAGGACACAAACTCATCCTTTTTTATAGCTGCATAGTATTCCATGGTGTATATGTGCCACGTTTTCTTAATCCAATCTGTCACTGATGGACATTTGGGTTGATTCCAAGTCTTTGCTATTGTGAACAGTGCCGCAATAAACATACGTGTGCATGTGTCTTTATAGCAGCATGATTTATAAACCTTTGGGTATATACCCAGTAATGGAATGGCTGGGTCATATGGTATTTCTAGTTCTAGATCCTTGAGGAATCGCCATACTGTTTTCCACAATGGTTGAAGCAGTTTACAGTCCCACCAACAGTGTAAAAGTGTTCCTATTTCTCCACATCCTCTCCAGCACCTGTTGTTTCCTGACTATTTGGGTTGATTCCAAGTCTTTGCTATTGTGAACAGTGCCGCAATAAACATACGTGTGCATGTGTCTTTATAGCAGCATGATTTATAAACCTTTGGGTATATACCCAGTAATGGAATGGCTGGGTCATATGGTATTTCTAGTTCTAGATCCTTGAGGAATCGCCATACTGTTTTCCACAATGGTTGAAGCAGTTTACAGTCCCACCAACAGTGTAAAAGTGTTCCTATTTCTCCACATCCTCTCCAGCACCTGTTGTTTCCTGACTTTTTAATGATTGGTGCCCACTGATTCTTAAAACTACAAGGACCTGTTTTTATGCCACTTTTCATCTCAATTTTCATCATTTGACATTGTACCCTTAGGGTGCATCTAGTGTCACTACAACTGTGACTTTTTGGTTTCTGCTACCCATTGTTTCACGGCCATACTCTTCATTCTATCATCCCACATGATCTTCAGTCTGGTCACAATGCACACCCTTCATCCCTGCCAGGCAGGTCTCCTGGCCGTGCACCCACACTTGCTAAGCTTGTCCCCATCTTTAAACCTATGCCTGGGCTCACTCCCTCCTGGGACATTGTGTCTTTTATCTGCCCAAATTGCCCCCATTATTTCAATGCCCATCTCAGATTCCAGGTGAATGTCTATCTCTCCTATCCCTGATAGCCCATAGTGTAGGTATTCACTGTCCTGCATGTTGAGCATTTATAGTTTTCAATCAGAACCCCCGCCCTGCTTATGTTTATTTATCCCCCATGAAGGCTTTGTGCTCAAACCTGCAGTAGCTCTCTGAAGTCAAGGATGAAAACACATATTTCTTTGTATGTCCCCCGTGCCCAGTACTTTGGGCCTACAAGGTGCATAGCTCCTAGAAAATGCTCAAGAAACCCATGAGGAACTAAACATACAGCTTTTTTGAGTTGTTCATCCCCAAGTCAAGCATCTCTCTTCCCCTGTTATTCAACTTCTCTTGAAAGCTTGCCAGGTCCTCGTGACTTTCCTTTGAGTCATTCGCTTCTCTCCCCCACATTTTCCAGGCTTATTTTTTCCACTGACCTGGTGTTCTGATGTGCCCCGTGCATATTCCTCATTTGTCTTTACTTTCTGCTCTTTCACAAAGCAAAATGTGAAATGATCCATGCTTTCACTGGCAAAGTTCAATCTTGGGTTTTCTTCCCCCTCCTAACTGAACCATTCATGTGGAGGAAGCTTTTGATCCAGGATTCAGATACTCAGTCACATTTTACATAACCAGAAACCATGCTAGGTGGTTATGTAAACTCTGTTTTTGACTTGAATAGCCAGACAACAGTCTTTACAATTTAGGTTAAAGCATGTTGTCAGCTTCCATTCATTTCTGATGGCCTGAGTGTCAATGTTATCCCACAATAGTGCTGTCAAAGAGATTCATGAGTGTATCAGGGGAGAATATTTGAAGACAAAAAGAAAAATATTTTAGACCATTTTTGTGTAATGTGTTGTCATTATCATATAATATGCCTAAGAAGAGATTAAGTTTGCTCGTACAGTTTAGTGAACAATAGTTAGAAAAGAGGTAACAGCCGGGCGCGGTGGCTCACGCCTGTAATCCCAGCACTTTGGGAGGCCAAGGCGGGCGGATCACGAGGTCAGGAGATCGAGACCATCCTGGCTAACACGGTGAAACCCCGTCTCTACTAAAAATACAAAAAATTAGCCGAGCGTGGTAGTGGGCGCCTGTAGTCCCAGCTACTCGGGAGGCTGAGGCAGGAGAATGGCGTGAACCCGGGAGGTGGAGCTTGCAGTGGGTCGAGATCACGCCACTGCACTCCACCCTGGGTGACAGAGCGAGACTCCGCCTCAAAAAAAAAAAAAAAAAGAAAGACAAAACGTAACATAGATGAGGTAGCCCACTACAAAGCAAGGCAGAGGGTCAACATTCTAGGAAAGTGCCTTCATTTATAATAAAATGTCCAGACGAGTGGCCACTTCTTTAGATACTGATGAACTAAGTGACCTTTTGCTGTTATAAATAACCTTTTATTTTGGCAGGGACGGCTTTCTAACATACACTTACTATCACTTAGCTTTGAGAATTCAGGATATTTCTGGAAGGACATGGCAACAAGAGGAAGAAGCATGGAGAAACTGAGGAATCAAAACACAAACTGGCCTGTCATGCACTCTTGGGGCGGGGCGGGGAGCCACTTCAAGTTTTGAACCAAATGTCCCGTCTTTAGTTCCTGGCTTCCTCAGGTTGCTTTGTCCTGAGGTCTTTGCCCTTGAAAGTTACACCTTTGGCGTCTCCAAAGTACTTGATGTACACGGAGACTTACTTAAGCTCTTGTCAACAGGTTTCCGCCTGAAACGGTCGGCTCGTCCATTTTCTTCCTAGGATCATGTAAACATCACATGCCACAGTTTCGTGCTGTGGGACTTGACCATTTGATCAAACCACTATAAGGGAGGTATGCCACGTGGTTTCTAGCCTAATCTGACAAGGTAGAGGTCAATGTGGCCTCAGTCATAGTTTGCCTACCCTGGGGACATTTACCTAGTGATTAGTGAGAGGAACCTACGTTTTTGTACTTTGAAGGGGATAAGGGTGTAAGCTACCACCTTGGAGATTCTGCCTGATGACGCAGAATTTTTAGAAATCTTTCAGACTGATTAATGAACCAAGCTCACTCATGCTTCCTGGCCAGTCACCTTAGTGAGCAAAAGTTCTCTTCCAAAATTAAAAAATATCATTCCCTATAGCGATCGCTGAAAAGCTTTTAAGGGCTAATATAATAACATAGACTTATGTCAAAAATCTTCTCAGCTGAAGTTGTTAAATTTAAAATCAATCCGAACATTTGCCAAGCAAAATTGGGATAGATTTGACAATAAGATATTTAAATTTCTTTATATCAAACCAAAAAATAGTAATAATTCCACAAATGAAAAAAATCTTCAGAGCTGCTATGTCAGAAAGTTGCTTAATATTTCTACCATATGAGGAGTTTATACATGTCAATAAGAAAAACACTAATATATCAATAAGTAAGTAAGTTAAGGATAGGAACGATTTTACAAAAAAGAAAGTTTAGCAATAGTAAGCATAACAATTATTAATCTCAAAAATTATCGAAGAAATTTAAATTAAAAATATTAGCCATTTTCCTTCATCACATACTCATTTTTTAAATAATAACTTAGTAAGAGTTTTCTAAAACAGGTGATGTCACATATTTTTGGCATGAAAATGTCTTATAGCAGCTTTGGAAAGAATTTCAGCAAAAATCATCAAGGATTTAGGAATTTTATTTCTGAGAATTTATCCCAAGGAAAAAAGCTTAAAATTGGGAAGGGGGAGTTCTATGCACGCATGTTTACTAAAGTGTTCTTTGAGGAAGAGACAGATTGCATAATTTAAAATTTTTTTGTGATTTCTAAAAAATTGAGAACAGTTAACACTTTTGAGCACTTACACTGTCCCTGAAACTGTCCTAAAGGTTTATGTGATTGAATCATTTACTATCATAAAAACCCTATTGAGGTTTGTACTATTGTTATCCAATTTTACAGATGAGGAAACCAAGACACGGAGAGGCTCAATAACTTGCCTCAGGTTACATAGTAAGTGATGGGGCCAGAATTGGCATCAGGAGCTAATTCTCAACTACTCACTTATATTCCCTCTCTCATTGTATAATATTTTCATTGTAGAGAACTTTAAAAAGACATGTAAACATAACAAAATTTAAATTCGTTCATAATAACCAGAGATAACTAGTAGTTTGTTCCTTTTAGTCATTTTGATAAGCATTTGTCAAATCCGATTACACAATTCCATCTCATGCTACATTTATTCAAAAAAATATTTTGAGAATTTTCCGTCCTCTTCTACAATTACTTGTGTTCCACTTGATATAGATGTTATAGCGGTATAAGATGAGTTGATTAGCCTCTACTTTTAATTACTATATTCAATGCATTAAACAGCTTTATACATAAATCTTTGTATCAACTTTTCATTTCTGAAAACAGAACTTTGTTTTTGAGGACAAATGCCTTTCTTAAAAAGTATACAATTTTTAAGGATACTTAACATATTTTTTGACATTACTTTGCTGTTATTCTTTTTTATCTCTTTTTTTGTTTTTTTTTTTTTTAATTTATTTATTTCAGTGGGTTTTGGGGGAACAGGCGGTGTTTGGTTACATGAATAAGCTCTTTAGTGGTGATTTCTGAGATTTTGGTGCACCCATTACCCAAGCAGTGTACACAGTACCCAATGTGTAGTCTTTTATCCCTCACCACCCCCACCCTTCCCACTGAGTCCCCGAAGTCTATCTTAGCAGTCTTATGCCTTTGCGTCCTCATAGCTCAGCTCCCACATACTATGTTTGGCTTTCCATTCCTGAGTTCCTTCACTTAGAATAATGGTCTCTAATTCCATCCAGGTTGCTGCAAATGCCATTCTTTTGTTCCTTTTTATGGCTGAGTAGTATTCCAAGGTATACGTATACCACATTTTCTTTCTCCACTCATTGACTGATGGGCATTTGGACTGGTTCCATATTTTTGCAGTTGTGAATTGTGCTGCTATAAACATGTGTGCAAGAGCATATTTGACATATTTTCTATTTTTCTTTTCCTTTTTTTTTTTTTAACAGCCCAGAGATCTTTTATTTTGTTAACACCTATGATGCCATGAATTCATAGGGAAGAGGCTCCAGCAGCTCAGGCTCCTTCCCCCAGACTCTCATAAAGTGTGCTTCTCTGGGTGGAGCAGGCTGGTGCTTCAGTTGAACCCGGGCACCATTCTCTTTGGCTTCTTTCTTTTTCTGAACATTTTCCTTCCCGCGTTTCAGGAAGCTAGCTCTGCTCTTAGAGAGTTTAATGTGCTCAGTACGCACATTAATTCTCTTGGCAAGAATCTTGCCCTTAACTTGTTTGTTTACAACAAAGTCAACAGCATGCTGGGGAACATTGTAGCTCTTCCAGTTTAGCCACGGTAACATTTGGGGGCATTCCTTTTTGAACAGGACCCATTCCCTTGATGCCTACAGTGTCATCTTTCTTATAGATTCGCATATACGTGGCCAAAGGAACAACTCCATGTTTTTTAAAAGGCCTAGAGAACATACATTGGGTGCCCCTCCTCTTTCCCTTTGTGTTCGTCATCTTGGCAAATTACTGGAAGATGGCGGTTCCTACCGAAAGGTGATATATTTTCAAAGTGTTGTTCAGAAAATGTTTTATCAATTTATTTTCTTGTTAAGGGTGTCTGACAACCTCTACCCTACCAATATCATTATTGAAAATATTTGCTAATTTAATAGTTTTTAAAAAGCCTCTTGTTGCCATCTTATTTGTCACTTTTTGTTCATTAATAGATATAAACATGTATCATATATCTAGTGGTCACTCAATATTTATTTTTTGTATAATTGCTCATTCATGTCCTTTTCTCAAAATTGGTGTTTCACAGATTGATTATGTAAGATCTCTATCTCTGTATATTAAGGCTATTATTCCATTTACACTTTTTATTACCTATATTTTTAAATGTTTTATTTACTGTCTTACTTATAAACATAAAAATTTGGAAACATGCTAACTCTAAAAGGGAAACAGTAAGTGTGTTACATTCATTTCACGGGATATTATTTATTGAAGAAAATGTTTCTGAAAAGTTATCAATAATATGGGCGAATGTTTATTTCGTGGTATTACAAGAAAATATAGGGAAATGTTGGATGTTCAGTATGATAAAAACAAACCATATGCATATTAAAAGACTGGAAGAAAAACTATTGACAGTGATGATTTTTAGTATTGGGTCTTTCATTGATTTTTTTTCTTTTTTGTCTTTCTTTTGCTTTTTTTTTTTTTTTTAAGAGTAGTATTTTCCACCAGGAAAGAAGCAATGAACTTGAAGAAGAGAGAGAAAAAGAAGAAAAAGGCATTGTAAAAAAAAACAAAAAAAAAAGGGGGGGGCAGGGAGCTAGTACAAAACTGATCTTCTATACAGCGTTTCACTTTCTGAGCTGTATGAGAGATTCCCTAATAAACTTCTTCTCACACTGGAATATCTTGCTCCAAAAAGTAGGAGAGGCACCAGACCATCTGCCTTCCCTCAGCTTCCCTGCTTCTCACCAGGGGTGACCTGGACCAGGTATTTTCACAAACCAGAGGGGCCCATGGAATCCCAGAACACAAGATAGATGGACTTGAGTTCCAGGACCTGAGGATTCTCCATTAATTCCTCTCTGAAGGCAGTTGCACTTGCTGCTGAAGGGCAGCCCAGGGCCCCACCCCGCAGGCCTAGAGGGGGGGGACAGCAACTGGCACACACAGACCCCATGTCTGCCAGCTGTTATCTACCCGGCTACAAAAAGGAGAGAAAGATCCAGGCAGCCGGTTAGCTGACTGCACAAGGAGAGCCACTTACATCCTTTCACTGGATATAAGTTAGTTTTCCTATTGTCTTTTCCCCAGATGAGGTTTTACCATCTCAGGGTATGAGTGCCCTTGGGATAGGAGAATCACTGGCATGTCCACAAGCATCCTTTTTAAGTTGATTGCTGAACCCAAAGCATTTCTCCAAAAATCATGATGTTCCTCAAAAGGAAGAAAGGGAGTTAAGAACAAGAATTTTAATCTGCACATGACTGGGCATGGCACTGGTTCTTAACCCTGGCTGCACAGTGGAATCACATGAGGAACTAATGTATCAAGGATTTTAAAAAGCACCACAGGTGATTCTAACGTGCGGGCAGTTGGGAATCTCTAGGCAAAAGTGATGAGTTAAAGTGATTGAGGAGAAGATCGTTAAATCCGAATAAAGCGCTTGAGAAACAGACTCAGCCCCTCTGGTGGAACTGGAATATGTGTCATCGTGTAATTCAGTTCAAGGGTTTAGTACTTTTTCCATCACTTCGTCTCTTCATCTTACATTATCTTCATCTTGCATCTCTATGAACAACCCTCTTCCTCATTGTCAAAGGCAGCAAAGAAAGGGTTACAATGTCTTGCCCAATGTCCCCTCACTAATACAGGATGAGGCACAGAGAGATTGAATAATATAATGGAAGCCTAAGGCCACAAGCCACAGCCCTAACATCCTTGCTATTAATAGAATGTTGTTTACTTTGGAGTGGAAGAGTTTTTTAATGGAATTGGTGTTATGTGCAGAATAGTGTTAAATCAGTGGAAGATTGAGAAAATATTCGGGGGAAATTTGATGCTACTTTCATTATTAATTTGTAATGGGTCTTTAATATGGCAACAAATGAAAACATCTCTGACTACCTGTTAACCCAATAGAAATAACAAGAGAAATTCAGTGTACTAAACAGCACTTTAAAGACAATTACTAGACATGGATTTACTAGGGAAAATTCTATCGGAAACAAACCCAAACAAAAATTCTATCATTAACAAAGCATATGGCCTGATGTTAAAAGTGTTATGAGGCCAAAAAGAAAGTTCTAATCCTGTAAATATATGAGAAGTTTATCAGCTAATGAATAGAATACAATTGATTCCGTGATTTAAAGTTTAACTAGTAGTTTATTTTATTTACAATTGTATAAAGTGAAAAGGGAAAACAATCAATAAAGAACCTACATGAGAAGAAACAAGAATGGAAAATTTGGTGGTTTAGATGCCTATTTACATGGGAAAATGTTTCAGATCCCCTGGGATGATAAAATGTCTGTTGAAAGAAACATAAAAGGAGGATGATAGGAAATTTAATAAACCCAGATTACAGAATGTGTTTCTTTCCATACTACAATTTGGTTGTGGTTATGTATGATAAATAAAGAGAGATAAAGAAATACAATAGGAAAAGAAGAACAAGTACAGTCTTCTTGCTGACAAGTATCTTGTAAACAGGCAGTAACATTTATTTTTAAAATGGTTGTCCTCGTTCGCATGCATTCGTATTTTTTTCACACAAAAACCAGACATGTAAAGCTAAGAAAATAAGCAGCTATAATTAGAGTGGGAACTGGAATTGGGAGTGGGTGACCAGGGAAAGACGATGGAGTGAGTTTGTTCTCTTTTCTGTTTGCAAACCTGTAGTTAAGCGACAGATTAGGAGAAGAAAACTCTTGTTCTGTAGCTGGAGACAAGTTCAGCAGGTTTCTGGACCAAAGAGTGAACTCACGGAAATGCCAATCCATCCACAGTTGACTATTAGTAAAGTAGAGTAGATGACAGATCTGGAAGAACCCACTGAAAGCCTGGTTGAAATATTTAATTGCAAAAGAACGTCAACAGAAAAATACAGCTGGAGTGAAATAAGCCTTGGTCTTCCTCCCAAATAGGCCCAGGAACAGACCTCAGAACTAATCCTGATCTAAATGTGCAGACTGGCCAGTGGAGTCTTCCTCCCTGGCCACGTCTGCCTGAAAATGGAGACTTCCCACAGCTGTTTGGAGCAGCTTGTGGCACACTGTTGTGTCTGTTCATTCAATATAATTAAGAGCTGCTTGCTCTAGGGGAAATGAAGGATTTGATTAAGGGGGAGTGTTTCTTCTTCCTTTCTTCTTTCTTGCTTTTGTTCAGCCTTATCCAAATTTTTTTACTATTTTCTAAGTCATGTCACGTTCTGGGGCAATTTCCACCTTTTGTTATGGACAACTAAGTGCTAAAGGCACATAGTAATGGGGCGTGTGTGTGTGTGTGTGTGTGTGTGTGCACGCGCACTTTAAGATGGAACAAGGGAGGCTTGGAAAGAGGAACGCATCCCAAACTGGTTTTTAGACCCCAAAAAGCAAAAAATTCATAAAACCAAAACTGACTGAGCCAGATTATGAAGAACCCTGAGCAAATGCCAAGCGACGTGTTCCCCAGGCTTGGAATGGCATTTCCCTCCGCAGCAATAATTTATCTGTTAACAAGTAAATCCTCCCAGTTCTTTCTGTGCCTTCTGAAGTGTCACTATTATATACCACTATGGAACAACCACAGAGGGTGGGCTGGGGAGGGAAGGGACCTGACACCAGTTATCAATCTTTCACAAACCACAAGTTCTAAAAGAGCACAGGATTTATGAGCAAACAAGTCCAGAGAGCCCCAGCCAGGGACTGAAAAAATCATGAGGTTGGGATGACTGTCAACATGTCAGAACCAAAGAAGGAGGAGAGAAAGATGGCACAAGAAAATGGGCCCTCCCTGCAGATGGATCATTCTAATTGCCATCAAACCTGATTTCAAGAGCATTTTACAGCTCTTCTTTCCCCCTTTGAAAAAGTTAAATAAGCAGAACATGTCAATAAATGTGATCAATATCCAGAAAACCTTTTTGTTAGCTAATATCCCAATAAGGACATTTGTATTGATTCAGTTCTTGATGAGGTCCAGTTGCGTATCTGAGGGATCTGCTCTATGAAATGTGTAAGGCCTTGAACACAGTAGGTGTTCAGTAAATGTGAGTGCGTCGGATTAGTGGCATTCTAGATAACTGAGTTTACACAAAAACTGTTCCTTTTTTTCTCCTCTATTGTCTCATCAACTATCAAATGCCCTTGGTACATCCCCCAAAAATGTTTTAAAGATCAATTTCTCTTTCCTATTCCCAGAACTGTACCTTTTCCTAAAAATTATCATCCAACGCCTCAAATATCACAATACCTACCAAGTCAGTCTCCTGGCTTCTGGTTTATCAGATTACTTTTCCGAAGCATTCACCAGCTCAAAAGCTTTGAATCACTTTCTAATGCCTTTGGGATAAAGCTCAAATCCCTCTGCTGACTTTCAGGGCTCATCACAATTCAGTTTCATCATGCCTCTCCGAATTTTCAACAAATCTCAAAAGAAAAATGATGCTTACATCAAGTCAATGTCCTCTCTGGTCTTGGTTAGCAAACCGTGCATTTCTGCCACCATAAATTTGCTTTTCCTGTTCACCCAGCTCACCACACCTAGAATGGTTTTTACACTCCCTCCCTTTTCTCTTTCCTGTCTCCACCTTTTCCATGGAACCTCACTCCTCTCTTTGTCCTGAGGGAGACTCTCAGAATTCCAATGTCTAAGTACTCTCTGTTTCACTATCGCCAGCCATTGCAGGCCATTAGTAGGATTTTCTCTCTCTCAAGCATTGCCTTGACTTCTCGATCCACTCTCCATTCATTCATTCATTCATTCATCCATCCATGCCTTCATTCAACAATCATTTATTGACTGCCTATTTTGGGCCAGGCACCATGCAAGGACCCATGTATATAGAAAGATAAATGAGAAAGAGTTTATTGTCAAGACAATCCTAATCAAAGGGAAGGAAATTACAATGCCTTGTGCTCAGTTCAGTAAAATATATTTACATTATGCATATGATCTCTCTGGTTGTCAGAATCTTAAATTCCTTGAGGCCAGAAACTATACCATGGACTTCTTTTGTGGTCCCTAGTAAGCTTATTGAGCATGTAACTTGGTTTTTGAAACATACTTACACAACATTATTGAATGTTGCAATAACAGATTAGAACTCAAAAATTGTCTTGGTATTTCTTCACTTTGCCAGGAAAAATATTCAGGTTTAAAATGTAAGTTATAGAGAATATTTCTGAAGGGATAAAGTCATTAGTAACCCCAAGAAAGAATGCCCAACAGATAGGGAAAGAAAAATACTTTTCTATGTACATATTTTTATATTTTTGAATCTGATATCATATGAATGAATAACTAATTGAAAAATAATACATTTGTTGATACAGTTTTAAGGAATCAATAGAGATAAAACTATAGATGCCAAATTTTTGTTTTTCTCTTGTCCTCATGAGCAGCGACCCCCAACCTTTTTGGCACCAGGGACTGGTTTCATGGAAGATGATTTTTCCACAGACAGGGTTGTGGGGAATATGGTTTTGAGATGGTTCAAGTGCACTACATTTATTGCACACTTTATTTATACATTTATTGTATGCTTTATTTGCAGTATAATATATAATTAAATAATTGTATAATTATACAATTCACCATAGTGTAGAATCAGTGGGAGCCCTGAGCTTGTTTTCCTGCAACTAGATGGTTCCATCTCGGGGTGATGGAACATCAGTGACAGATCATCAAGGGTTAGATTCTTATAAGGAGCCAGCAACCTAGATCCCTCACATGCACAGTTCACAATAGGGTTCATGCTCCTATGAGAATATAATGCTGCTGCTGATCTGACAAGAGGTAGCGCTCAGGCGGTGATGTGAGCAATGGGAAGTGGCTGTAAACACAGATGAAGCTCCACTCGTTTGCCTGCCTCCTGCTGTGTGGCCCGGTTCCTAACAGGCCATGGACTGGTACTGGTCTCTGGCCCAGGGGTT